TCTCTGTGTGTGTATATGTGTGTCTCTCTGTGTGTATATGTGTGTCTGCACATATGTGTGCATGTGTGTCTGGGTAGCATGAGAGCCCTTAGGCCCTGGCTCTGATCTTTACCCTCCCACAGCAGCCTGCTTGCTGCCCCCCAGGGCAGTGAGTGACAGAACAGCCTAGACTGGGTGCCTTTTGAGTAGAACACAGCAGATTCTCCCGCACCTCCCTGGCTTGAGAAGCTGCTGCTGAACTGGATCCCACATTCAGTTTGGCTACACAGCACACGGCTCTGGTACTCACTGGTGGATCGCTTGGAGGAACTTCCTCTGATGTTTCCTGACTTTGGCGTGGTCAATCTTCTTTAGCAGCTTTGTGTGTTTATAGATTAACCATGTTTCCCGCAGGACATTGGCGGCAGCATTCTTGATCTAAGGGAAAGCAAATAAGCTGCTGTCAGGTGGGGTCCTAGGTTCACACAATGTTTTCCTTACACGTGTGGTCGCCATCTCCCTCCTGAGAAAATGCTTCCTCAGAGATCTCTTCTTCATCAAGAGCATGAAACTCTGGGACTAGATTAAAACGCATCTTTTATTAATCTTGAGCGGATGCAGTAGACTGGAGCTTGGAGTTGAGAGGCATTTCTCCTCCTTTCATTGCTGCCTCTCGGCCGCCGCTGCTGATGCTATATTTAGAGAGGCTGCTTAGCAAAGCCCTTGAAGTCTGGGGTACAGTTTGGATCAATAAATACCATCTATGCCCTCACATTCAGGGTGCCACACTTGAGAGTAACAGGCTCCCCACCAAGTGGAGATTTAAAAAGGTGTCTTTGAGGAGATGTCCTTTGTCGCAGTGATGGGTACCAACAAGGCCACTGTTCCTTTCCTAAATGGCCAAAGACTGTGTGCTGCAATTTCCCATGTAAACGTAATTGGCACAAAATTGAAATCATCCCAGGGGTGTAGCGAATCAGGGGAGATACCTAGGTGTGAAAGCACAGCTGCTTCCTGGAACTAGCTTCCTGGGCACCACAGTCACACGGCTCCACATACAACTCTGTCATCTGTTGACATGGTAACCACTGATATCATCCAGCTCACGGCTGAGCTGAGATATATCAATGGCATCCAGATGGCAGGGGACAAAGTTTTAATCCAGACACAGACATCTTCAGCACTAGCAGCAAGAACAAGAGAAAACACTCCTTATTAAGTGCAAGCCATGCACAGTGGCATAGGACCACAGGCCCAGAGCCTGGAAGTGGGGAGATCAGCCAGGAAAGATCAGGTGGCTTGCCAGATAGGATTTTAGCAAAATCAGAGAGCACAGACCAGCTTCTTCAGACCAGCGCCAACAGATGGGGCGTAGCTAACGTGCTGAGACGCGTGGGAAGGCCTGGGAAGCATCGCTTCGCAGGCTGATTGTGTGTGTTTCACAAATCTTTTACGAAGGATGGGTTATACTCTTCATTGGCGCTGACATGATGTTTTAAAAGAACATCTAAGTCTTCTCAGGAATGTTTAAGTGACATAAATATTGCTTTTTTCATTGTTGTTCAGTAAAAAAAAAAATCGGTGAAAATGGTTGTAAGTCTTTCATTGGCCCACCGCTGGCACTTTCTGGTTTGACAGTGAGCAGGTGGTAGTGACTTGAGGCTGGGGATGGCTAGTGTCTGGATAGCAAGGAGGGGCAAGCGGATGACTGGCTCTGGGCCTTGGCTCTGGTTGGCTAAAGAGGTGGCAGAGAAGGAAGGTCTTTCTCCTGGCAGAGAAGATGCTGCTGCTGTCCTTTAAAGGGATGGGCAATTTTCTCTAGGATCTTTTCAGTTTCCACAGGTGTTTGGCCTCTGAGGAAAGCCTTAAAGATAGGGAGCAGGGAAAGAGCCTGCCTAAGCCTTCACAAGGGTGGGCCGGGCCCTAGTCACCCAGTCCCTTCTTAGGAATGCTCACAGAGCCACTGAATAACAAAACAGATAAGCCTTTGACAATGGTCTCTGTGTCCTGCCAACAAACACTTGACATGGGAAAGCCTGTAAGGCCTGTGCATCATGAAGCAGTTTAGGGGCAAATGCTTAATTATCTATAAGATGAAGGGAAGACATCTTGGGCTAACACATACACACACACACACACACACACACACCAGTCCAACAACAAACAGTCAATGTGAATTTGAGCACTATATAAATCTTAAGGTGTCAGAAAGATATTAGTTATTATTATACAACTCAAGTTCCCCACTTAAAACAGAAGGAAACAGTTCCGAGATGGAATGAAAGGCCAGACTCACACAGGGAGTTAATGGCCAAGTCTAATCAAGAGTCAGGTCCAAGAGGTGCATACGATTCTCGTATGGTCTGGAGGGAGGCAGGTCTGGACTTCATCTGAATTCAAACAGAACCATTTCCTCTTTCCCAGGATCGAGGAATTGGGAAGGATGCTCGTTTGGTTTTGGTCTTGCTTTTTAAAGTCATTCTGGCCCCCATTCAGCAACTGACAGAACCCAGACTTCAATGCTCGCCTTTAACTCCAGCCTAAATGAAAGACCCAGAAGTCACAGTTTGGCCAGGTGGCAGGGAAGCATCAGATCCATCTTTATGGGCTTGCGAGGGAGGCCCCTGAGCATTCGGGGAAATAATGTTAAATGCAAGCCTTGCACTGACTGAAATTAACTGCTAGCAAACAGCCTGGCACAGAGCTAAGCAGATCGATATCTGCAAGAGAAAAAGCAATAGGCTTTTAACCGCACTTGGCTCTCCCGGGTCTCCCTGCATTTCACCTGGCGCCTGACTCTGAGCACGGTTGAGAAGACAGCACCGTTTTAGCCCCTCTTGGGGCCTGCTCAGCCTCCACAGTGTGGAGACACCTTTCCCTCACGGAGACTTAGGTACCTCTGAGTTCTCCTGGTGAACAAGGGTACCAAACCTAAAAGATCTTCCCAGGATGCAGAGTTGGGAGGGTCAGGGCTTGAGAGGGAAGCAGTGAACTGGCTTAGGTTGGCTCTGAAAGGCTTAGTTGAGGTCTCTTTGGAGGTGGCTAGGTAAGGATCTTTTATGTGTGAAAGGCCAGCTCTCTGGCTTGCAGACCCATAAGCTTGCAGGCTGATAGTGCTCAGTGAGTCTATAAGCTCTCTGCCTTTCATATTGCTGTTTTCCCTATGCTTAGAGTCCAGAAGGACTTGTTTTGTTTCGTTTTGAGAAAGGGTCTCACTACACAGTCCTGGAAAGCCTGGGACTTGTTATGTAGACCAAGTTGGCCTACAGAGATCCACCTGCCTTGCTTTCTGAGTGCTGGAATTAAAGGAATATACCACCATACCTGGCTAGGAGGGACTCTTCATATTAGTGGGCCTGGGGAAGAAACAGGTCCAAGGAAGATCTCCCAAATAACTTACATCTTACCAAGCACTGTGCCAGGCTTTAGAGAACACCAACACCTGCATTATCTCACATATTAATCTCCAAATAAATATGGTGAGTGGTGGGTTGTTAGCTCCACCTTGGCTCCATTACTGAACTCTCTGAGATTTATTCTCTCCACCCATTTAAAGGACAATTAATGAATATTAATGTGTACCTATGATGAGCCAGACACTCTTCTAGAAAGTGAAAATATAAAAATCAACAAATACATAGCATTCTCTTAAAACAAACAAACAAAAACCTGGGTCTCATGTTGTAGCCTAGACCACCCTTGAGCTCACAATTCTCCCAGACTGACTTCAAACTTAAAATCCTTCTGCCACAGCTTCTTGGGATCACAAATGTGCACTACCACTCCTGGTGAACTAATAGCATTCTTGCTGTTACAGAATTTATAACCTTTGGGTGAGGAAGGATGCAGCTAAAAATATAGTATCAGATACTACATGCTTTAAAGAAAATTAAAGCATGACTCAGGGCTAGAGTCTTGCAAGTGCTGTTCATCGGCAAGATGGGCTCCAGTGTTGATTAAATGGAAATACACAGAGAGCATTTAGTATAAAGCCTGGCCATGGTGTTTCAATGCACAGTCATTTTGTATCTGTTGTTACATTTATCTGTTTATTGTGGGGGTGGTGTATGAACCACTGTTGTGGAATAATCTTTCTGTACACTGTGTAAATATATGTTGCTGTGATTGGTTTAATAAAGATGCTGACTAGCCTTTAACCGGACAGGATAAAGTTAGGCAGGAAAGCCAAACTGAAAATGCTGGGAGGAAGGACGGCAGAGTCCGGAGTCACCAGCCACAGAGGAAGCAGGAGATAATTGAGCCATGCTAATAAATGTACCAATGCATGACAGGACATAACTAAGGAATGTGGGTTCACTTAAAATGGAAGAGCTAGTTAGTAATAAGCCTGAGCTATTGGCTGAGCATTTATAATATAAGCCTCAGTGTGTTTATTTGCGAGCATCTGTAGAACAGGAAAACTCTACTTAGTCAGCTCTTTCCTTCTAGCATGGGGTCCCAGGGATCAAACTTAGGTCAACAGGCTTGGCGGCAAGTACGCTTTTCTACTGAGTCATCTCATAGGCCTATTGTCACTTTCCTGGCATTGCTCTTCATATGTATCAGCTTCTTCTCATGGCCCCAGTCCCCAAGAACAGAAAGCATGCAAGAGGACACAAGTCTCTGCACTCTTGACTACAGCAGCCCATGTTACAGGCTGCTCTGGCTACCTCTCTGCCAGGGTAACTGCCACGAGGTATTACAGAAGGGCAGTGAGTCACAGGGAGAGTGGCCAGGGTGCAAGGAGGATGAAAAGAGCTCCTTTCTTGAGTAGCCATGCCCTCAGTGGCCACGGGAAGCCAACAGAATAATTCACCCACTGGTGGATCCCCAGCTCTGCTGCCAGGAGCCCTACCGGGGAACAGTGTCCCTCTTGGTTGGAGAATCCAGGTCAGCCTGGCAGCTATGACCTTCCTACCCCAACTAACAGAGATGAGAGACATCACACTGAGAGACTGCGAGCCAGCCAGCCTGTGAAGAGCCTGATTGGAGGTGTCCATTATACCCAGAACTGTAGGAGCAGAATGCGCCCTTCAGCCCACCAGCCCACTCATCCCTCATCTTCCTCCACTGACTTCTGGCTGACTTCCTGAGACTGCTCTCTCTCTCTCTCTCTCTCTCTCTCTCTCTCTCTCTCTCTCTCTCCACCCTGTTTATGCCTCCTCATCTTTTCTCCATCCTAGCCCATATTCCCTGCCTTACCTGGACAGGGCTCCGCCCCTTTTTGGTAGGAATTTGGAATGGGGAGATGTATTTAGTGTTTCAGTGTTAGAGTTGGAGCTCTACCTGAAACGACTGGTGATAAATGGCAGATCATTCACAGTGATATTAATATGATACATGACCAATGTAAAATCAAACTGGCTCCTCCCAGGAAGGCCTGGGACTCTCGGCACCAGGAAAGCTCACGGAACTGACCACACTGGGTGGCGGTTGGAGGACTACAGATTCCTGAGAACCAACCAGATCCCGGACGGCACAGCTAGCTAGCTGCACATGCCAGGCATCCACGCCCCCGCCCCCCACCTCTGAGTCTGAGTGTTCGCTCCGCTCATCCCCAGAGTCTTTCCCACTCGGGCAGGCTGCTTTTCCACTCCTGTCAGTAAAGAAACACCATGACCAGTCTCTCTGGGCCACTGCCTTTGTGGGAATGTCATTTGCAATCCTCTTCTGGGAGAATTCGCATTCCTGGTAATGGCATGTGTGATTACCTAAGGAAGTCTACAGAGAAAGGCTTGTTCTGGGGATCTACTCAGGATCCAGACCAGCTGTGGGCCATCCATCTCATCTGCGGAACAGCGGCTGCCATTATGTTTCCCTATGAAACACCCCTGCTGAGAGGAAGTCTTTGAGTAAGCCTGCTGGAAACAGTGTTCCCCAGCCTTTGACATTTTCTCAGAGTTCAGGTTTTATTTAGGACTGTTCAGCAGGTCTGCCCGAGGTTTTTCAGTGCGGTAGTGCTATGTTCAGGGTGAGATCAGGTCTAAAGGGATTCAAGGGAAAGCAAAGTGCGGGTGACTGCCCTTTGGGAGAGGCTGACGAGTGGATGCAAGATAATCAGATCCTACGGCAGGGAGACCAGGGCGAGGGTGATTTACGGATGGGTGAGGGGAGCCTAGGAGGCATCACTGTGTGTGAACAGTCAAGGTACACAAGTGAGCCCCGTGGGCTGCAAGGAACAGACCAGTCAGACCTGGCACTGTCTTTGGGACTGGACACTGGAGGGACAGTGACGTTCGTCAGCAGCCCTGGACAGTCAGGAGCCAGAAATAGTTCAGGGCTGCTAGGTTTGGCTCTACTGACTGATTTCATGGGAAATGTAGTTCAAAGGGATTCTAGGGGACGGGGAACCCCTCTGCAAGGAGAAGGAGGCCACCCCAAGCCAGAGGCACACACTCATCAAACTGACTAGAGAGAGCTACCTCAGGTCTGAGTGGGGGGGGGGGGGGGTCAGGGAAGTACTTGGGCCATCTCCCGTCCATGCAGTGTTGCTTCCTTAGATATTATAGAGCAGCCCAGGGGTTGGCAATAAGTTATAATTATAGATTAACAGCGGCACTGACTGATCCTACTAAACACAGAAGGGACATTGCCAAGGTTGACAAGTTATTCAGGTGAGAGGAGACACGGGTTTGGGAAAGTCAGAAATGAGTACACTCTTCATGCTGTCAGCTCCTGTTCCGGTTATAGGGGGCACCTCCAGCCAACGTGATGTTTCTCATCTGTTAGTCAGGGTCCACCCATTGACTTGTAACCAAATACCAACTGCCTGGTGCTACCCGGAGAGGCTGGGCTGAAGTTAGACAGGCGATAAATTAACATCAGAATGACTCGCATTTTTATGATCCATAGGCTATGATTCATGGTTTCTTTCTGCTTAGATGTTTGAGGGATTAATATTGCATATACTTGCAAGAGGTTGCTTTTGTCGGGTTAGCCTGCTAATTGTCCACTACTGAATGGCAACAGGCCATTCTCTGAGAACTCACTGGAGTCTTGGGCACAGACATGAACTTTGCATCTCATTGGCCCATGAATCACTGCAGCTGGACATACTGCCGTTTGGAAAGGGCAAAGGGCAGCTTAGGACCCTCTGGGGTGAGGGGTCAGAGCCAGCTTGAGTTCAGTCAAGGTCATGCAGAAGGACGGCTGTAAAGTCTCAGTAGTGCCAGCTTCAAAAGTCTCCCTTTGTAAGAATCCTCCCTTTGTGTTTATTTCTCTGGGAAAAGATGCAAGATATTAGAGGGACATTTCAGTGGATTTAAGTGTTCTGAGAAAAGCGAGATGTTATTCAATTAAGAAGGCACCTTGTACTCATGGATGAGCAATAAATATCTGTGGATTTGATTTTCAGCCCTGTTCCTCCAAAAGTAAGTGAACTTGAAGAGGATTTTAGTGAATTATTTTTGAAAGATTGAAATTAGCAACCACAACCTCATCTCCTTCTACAATTATAGTGCAGAAAAAAAAGATGTGCTTATTTTCCTGGCCCGTGAGAGAGCCGGCTTTCCTTGGTTTTATTTTCCTCTAGTGTCTGATTTACTGGGTGAAAAATGGAAAGGACAAAGGAATAGCACAGAAATACGAAGTGTAGTCCTGACTTTAGGAAGCCACCAAAGCCACCAGAGCAAACAGAGAACGTTCCTGCTCTTGACAGAGAACCTCTGAGAAGAGCGGGAGGAAGACTCCTCTCCCCTCACTTGTGGGGCTGCAAAGCAGGGAACTGAGCTGACGCAGGATGGCACTGGCACCTGGGCAGTTCACACCCCTAGCCTCCCCTCGCTGCTGAGCATGTCCGTGGCAGAGAGGGGGCTGAGGATGAGGGTGCTCGCAGCATTTGATGTGAGCGCTGCAGGGTGGCAGAACCACATACTGTCATGTTGGAGCTCCATGTTTTTGTCTGACTGGTGTCTTGGAGGCCATGATGCTCCTTGTGGTCTGCATAACAACGATATGGAAAAATTTCCTTTTACAGGTTTATATCCGTGGCAGCTCTTTAAAGAAACCCCTAATCAAAGGCCCAACAATCAAACGCTGTAAATAATTCTGCTGAGAAGCTGAGAGACCCTGGCAACCGCACACTGCACTGGCTTCCCCAGGCGGCCAGCTCCTTCTCAGGTCTGTTTTTGTTCTGTCTTCCTGCCTGTCTCTATTACAGAAACATTCTTACCACTTGAAACGTCAATCACAGAAGAATTCCTCTAGTGTTCAAATACTCAACTAAGACCGTAGACTTGCTGGTGGACTCATGCCCCCCTGACATGTTTCTCATGCCCTGAGACGGGTTCCGGGTCCTGGTTTTGTCTTGAGAAGAGCAAGGTCGAACACCTGACTATCCTCCAGGCTGCCACTTGTTTCAAGACTGCATGAAAGCTGTCGTTAAAGAAATAGCTCCTGCCTAGTTTATTGGGTCTGTTGTTCCCAGAAGCCTTATCCTTTCTCTCTTCTAAAGGAGCCTTATTAATTTTTGCTTGTCTTTTATTTTGTTTTAAGGCAGGATTCGCTAGGTGGCCCAGGCTGACTTCAAATTGAAACAGTCCTCCTACCTCAGCCTCTTATGTTCTGGGATCACTGCCCCTGGCTTAAATGGCCTTCCCTTTCTCTGAGAACCCAGTGGGACTGTGGAAGCAGCAGCTAATCACCCACTCCTGTATTTTCAACTTAGCTTCTTCCTAAGCCGTGTTCGTAAGGGTGCAAGCGAGAGCCGTTATCTAGAAAGTCCAAAGGGGGAGCCGGATGATGACTTTGATAAGCCACAATATTTGGGAATGTGGGCTCTACTAGAATGGTCTCTTTAAGTGGCTTTTACAAAGGGATTGGCTTTAGGTATACATCCAGTATAACTTTAAGACTTTATATTGCCCTTCTTAATGAGAATCATGAAAATATTTGAGCATAAAAGAAACATAGCATCATACCGGGTGATTGATGTGGCCCCATCAGGCAGGGAGGTGGCTTCCACCACTGTGAGCTATTTATCTAATCATCAGGAAAATGATCTGGTTGCTTGACACATACAGCGACTTAATGGTGGCTCGCCTGGTCTGATGGGATTCACTCGTGGACGAGGAGCCGAATGCCTGAGCTGGGGCTCCCGTAACTGCTAATCCACACCTGGCATGTGGTCTTTTTCTGACTGGCTCCCACTTCTGCTGTAAACTTACATGAAGGTATGGGCATGAGACGTCTTACCCGTTTGGTGAGCTGAGTGTCCATCATGAAGTTGTGAACGTGCTTCTCTGCTTTGGTGAGTTCGAGCTTGCGGGCAACCACAGCAACCACAAGGGCAGTGCAACCTGCACCCTGCCGGAGGACGTCAGAGGCCCCAGGAGAGAGAATACACAGTTAGGAGGCAAAGCACAAGACTCAGGGAGCCCTGTGCTCGGTGTGGGCATCGCAGGTACAAGACTCCGGCTCTCTGACTGGTCAAGATAGTCCATAAAGCCTGTCGAAACCCGCTTGTGCCCTGATATCCCCACCGAAGAAGCAGACTACAATGCTTCTTGTCTTGTGACCCCAGCTGACATGTCTGGGAACAACAGACTCAATAAACTAGGTAGGAGCTGGCCAATTCTCAGCACTGTATGGCTAGGAAGAGTCTTTGGGGCACTTAAACCCATGGGCAGTCAGGCTCCTGCACAGTGCAGCAAATGACAAAGGATCCAGTGCATGGAAGCCTGTTTGTCTGTCTGTCTCATGCTGTCCCGAGCTCAGACCAGCTCCAGCCCAGCAGGCCCAGGGGAAAGACAGCCCTGTGTGGGCTGCAGTGCACAGTTGGGGAAGTCCTGGTAATTAGCTATATGGAGAGGCAATGCATTCTCCCAAAAGATGAGTGTGGCCTCTCCTAAAGGGAACACTTGGATAGGCGTCAACTATAGTGCCTGTCCCACGTGTGGGTCTTTCTCCTTAAGGCCCTAGGCTGTGACTCAGCACCAGGAATTGGCTTCCAGAAGGAGACTCATGCATTCACCAACACGTAGGAATTTTAAAGGTGACAATGCTACTGCCTCCAGCCAGGATTTGAATGACTAAGAGGGGCACCCTCAGCTTCTGGAGAACAATGCTCCTAGTATGCTCAGGTAGCCCCCACCTGCCCCCCACACCCTCTCCCTCCCCAGTCCCCACAGGAGAGCACAGCAGAGGAGAAGTAAAGCGGCAGGCCTGAGCTGAGCCATGGAACGGAACGGTAGGACTCCTTTTCCTGCCTGGTCCTTTAGCTACGCACTTGACTGAGCAATGAGCAGGAACAGGAAAGTGGTATGTCCCTGGTATGTTCTTCTCCGTGAAGCTTGGTGGCCTGTGAGTCCTGAGGGAGGGAGACAGAAGCCCTTTGCCTGGTTCTCTGGTGGCCAATGAAAACCATCCCTGGATTCTCCTCACACACCGCTGCCCTCTCCCTGAACATGGGTACCACCCTGACCACCACCTTTGGAAAGAGGTGGCAGACTTAGGAATGCCAACAGTGAGTCTCCCGTGCCTCAAGAGCTGAGGTTAGCAGTGAGATGCTGGGGAGAGGAATCCACAAGTAACACTTTTGGCTTAATAGGTTTTATAATGTGGTGAGAAACGAGGAGAATATTTCTCAGAAACACTACGGTCTACAGCAGAGTCGGGACAAATGCATTTCCTACAACACTGCCCTTCCTTCCCTCAGCCGTCTTGTGTGAGACGCTGTGGAAAGAGACTCTCCACAGGGGTCTCATTAGCACAGTTATGTGACACTGCCCAGTTCAAGTCTAGGGCCAGTCTGTAAACTTTTCTTTCTGACCTCATTTTGCCCATTTGTGTGGGGATAGCTGTGTTTACTTGGCATCTGTGACTTGCTGGAGACTCTGTGCCCAATTTTCAGAGGATATGGGCAATTGGACAGCCCAGTCTATAGCTATAATCAATTTAGCCAGACTGCCAAAAGCAAAAATAGCTTAAAAGAAACTGTCCTGGAGGGAGGATGCATGCTCCCTCTCCTCTCGAGCAAAGCCAGCATCGACCTTCCCCTTTGTATGGAACTTCCAAAAAGAAGGATGTGTCCTAGCATTAAAAATGGAACATCAGAAGGAGAGGGCTCTTCCTAGGTTCCCCTGGGTTCAGAAATAATTCCACTTAAATCATCCAGGGAAAGCTGGGGTGTCACATCTGAAGAGAGAGTCCCCTTTTTGCTACAAGGATCTTGGGAACATCATCAACAGAATTGGTCATGCTCCAATTGCTGGGGCCTAGACAGAAGCCCTGTAGCTCCTGTCCAGACCCATAGCCGATGCTGGTTGACTACAGAGAACCTGCTAACAGGGAGTGCAGTGCCTTAACTAAGGTACTACCCGTCTTACATGAGAAGGATACATTCTTTTTGTATAGATGCAACAAAGTGGACTAAATCCCAGGGCCCAATTTCTTTCAACTTAAAAATGTAAAGACTCTCTTGTAGCTGTTTTTCCAGAGGACGCTACCTTCTTAACATCATTCCAGCTTTGGCAGATACTCGCACTTTTAATTAAAAATCTATCAAATTTAATTATTTGCCTGCATGTGTGCATGTATGTGTGTGTGTGTGTGTGTGTGTGTGTGTGAGAGAGAGAGAGAGAGAGAGAGAGAGAGAGAGAGAGAGAGAGCCATGATGCACACGTGGAGGTCAGAGAACAACCTGAGAAAGCCAGTTCTCTCCTTCTACCTAAGGGTCCGTGGGTCTGAACTCAGCTGTCAGGCTTGGCAGTATGCCTTTAGTCAATGTGTCATCCTGCCGGTTTGCATGCTCTGATTTCTTTTAGATTATCCATTGTCTAAATGTAACTAGGGAGGTCACAAATGATAATGCCAAGATATTAATGCGAATCAAGAGGGAACTTTGTGGATGTGGGGATCGAACATCAGCAGAAAATGGTGTGGAGTAGTAAGAGCCAGGCTGCCAGTCCTTCCCAGGATGAGAGTGAGGAAGTGAGAAGGGGAGGGGGATGGGGAATGAGCTAGAGGCCAACCACATTCTAACCAGCACTAATGAGAGAACAGGAAAGGAGAGAGGAAAAAGAAAAAAAGGCTAACAGAGCCCCGAGAAGAAGGGAGGACACAGCCGAAGTCAGAGGCCAGTGCTGAGGCATCAGGGGACCCTCTCCTCCCCCAGGCCCAGCCCTGTTTGTCCCTGTGGGTTTGAGTTTCATATTCTGTCTTCCCCGGGAAACCTCTTGCTTCCAAGAGTTACCCTAGGAGTGTTTGCAAGATTTGGCCATGGTGCAGCTTAGTGTAACAGGTGAACAAACCCCATAAACTTTAGTGGGGTTCTTGTCGTCCTGGTGCAGAATCTCCTGATGTTGGTGGACAGAGGGGAGCAGAGGGGCACATGAGTAGAGGGTGGGGTGGAGTAAGGGAGGTGGCAGCTGATGTCCTGACTTCTGTGGGATCAGAATGAGAAGCAAATCTGTGACTTGGCCTCTTGCCTTCAGATGCCAAGACCTGAATCTGCTGACGTCAATGGGAACGTTCAGCTCATTCTACCCAAGCCCTGTTCCCATGGAGGGAGAGGACCTGCCTCCAACAAGGCCAGACCTCCCCAAGGTACACAGTTGGCAGAGTGACGCAGAGTGATCAGAGAAGGGGTGTCTTCAGGGTGAACATGTCTAAATCGTCAGCAGATTCGGGTCGAAACCCGGACCCCAACTGCTCCACACCAGGCTTCCCACTTCTTGCTTGCAAGAAAGATTTCCAGCTGGAAAATCTTAGATGCTGGAAAAACAAGTTTCCCAAGGGGGAAAGTATGAGGTGTTCTTAACTGGAGAGGCCGCAAAGGAAATAAAACATAAATGAGAATGACAAATGGAGGAGGGCGGCCTGTGGCATTGCGTGCACAGAGACACCGAACAGGCCACGCCCATGCTGTGCCCAAGTCACTCGCTTTGGGTCACCTCTCCTGCAGGACACTGCTGCGGGCAGCTGCAAGGCCTGTTTGTCCACAGCCCACACCAGGGCGGCAGAGAGCATCCAGGCCTGGGAAGTGAAGTCTCTGGAGGCCCCGAGGCTCTCCCAGATAACAGAAGCAGAGCCAGTCTCCCTTCTGAGTGCTGAATATTAGCGACATTGTAAAGTATACCTCCTCATGGGCAGATGCTGCAGCTCAAGGTGGATTCGTGTTAATGAGCGAACCCTCAAATGCTCCAGGCCTATGCCAACAGTGTCAAGTTGTCCAGACAGTTACATGCCCTGCCTAATGGTGGGTAATTATGCAGTTGCTGGATTGCCAGAGGAAAACAATGATTAAGGCCATTTGCAGCAGGCACACTAAATCCTTCCCTTTCCCTTCCTGTGCAGCCCTTGCCTTGGCCTTGTGGTGTCCATGGTAACCAAACAGGAAGCCCTACCTTTAGTCAAGGCCCTTGGAATAATAATCAGGAGATATGCATCATGTTGGGGGTAGGGCGGGGTAGCCTTAGCAATGTGAGCCCCTAGAAAGAAATGACTCAGCTGGAGAGTCACGTTGAATAGAAAAAAAAAAAAAAAGCCACCAGGCTTCCCGAGTGAGTAGTGAATGGCAGTGAACAGAGGCAATGTCTCATGCTGGAGCCTTTGTGGGGGAAAAGCTTATATTCCCGAAGCCAGGCTTTATGTGAAGTGCTCCCAGGAAAGGCCTGGGCGGGAACTGTAATACAGGAAGCAGTGTGGGGGGTCCCTCACCTGCGGGCCCTTCCCACTTGGATCCCACTGGCGCCCACAAGGAACACTGTGGGCCCACGCAGCCACCAAGGGTGCTGGAAGGTGGGGTGGCCACACTGCCTAGGGAGAAGCAGTGTCTTGGGCCAGGGCTTTCTGTGCTTTTACCAGGTTTTTCAACAGAAACCGGGAGCTGTGAAGCCAGGGAGCCAGGGAAACAGGGGGCCTGGGCAGCTTCTTGGATGGGGCACAGCTCCATGCTGAGAGGGAGAATGACTGGTGTTTAAAAATAACAGAGGCCCGTCCACCTCTTGGCAGCACGGCTCTGAGCACCCTGCCTGAGCGCTGGGGTGGGGCCGGAGCCCACTCCAGGAGTCTGAGAAGGAGAGCCGCAGCTTCCAGGAGGCATTTCGCTCCTTCTGGGTAGGAAGAGTCTTCGCCCGGTTTCCTGGTGACAGCTGGAGCAGTGCCAGCCAGACTCCTACTGAACGATGCGAGGTGTTTGTTCTAAAGCCTTACACTTACCGTGATTTATCCCAGCCTGGCGCTATGCCTCTGCCACTACCGGCTGTTTCAAGGCAGCCTGCTCACACGGGCCAGCCCTGCATGGGGGTTGGAAGGGACAGGAGGCTGTGGCCAGCCATCCACTGCCCTGGGGTCTCCCCTGCTCCTAACGGCCCCCTGGTTCCTACCCACCAGCATCAGCTATCAGAGAAGGACAGTGTCCCCTCCCTTGATGGAGTTAGCTAGAACCTTCCCTTCTGCAGACACAGGTCGCTGCCCCGCAGGAAGAGCTGTCCTGCTTCCTGGGAGCAGTGAGAAAGGAACTGAGATAAAAGGAGCCCCGAAAGGAAGGCGTTGCAGCACCAGAGCAGGCTGCAGAGCAAGGAAGTGATGGGAAAGTGGGGGGGGGGCCAACCCATGGGGACCTCGTACCAGGCTCCAAGCATCCTATCTCTCCCGCCACTCCAGCACCAACCTCAGTGCCCCAGAACTAACCGTGGACCCTCTCCTCAGAGTCATTCCTCTTCTGAGGAGAGGGCCTCAACTGGGCTCAAAGAAGGAAGTCTGGCACTGGTTCTAAGACTCCAAGTAGGGCATCAAAGGGGACACTGCCTGTTCCACCTCTAAAGTATCCCCCAACACCAGTTACTTCAAAAGTGGGGATAGCTTGGGTACAGCTCTCACTGTTTACCCCAAACTTTCACATCAGTTATTTCTTGGGGTCTACAAGCCAGTGAGGAGGGCAGTCAGGTGCCCAGGTTCACTTCACCCAGGAGAGTACAAGCTCCACAGGGGGCACCAAGTGCCTGGTCCAGAGGCCACAGTGAGGGTGGGAAGATTAGACCTCGGTGCTGGGCGCCTAGAGACCTGTTGGCCTCATCAGATACCCAAGCTGGAAATCAGCTGGCACCAGAGCCAGCAATCCAATGTGCACACGTGGAAGACAAAGCCTGGGAAAGTCGAGAGCTGGCCCAGAGCCGTGTGGGCAAACCAGAGCTCATCCAGCAGTCAGCCCCATCCAGGACCTGGGTCCCTTCCGACTGCCTCAGTATTATATTTCTGAGCTCTAGCTAAACTCGATCAGAACTGGTACCGAGGTCTGTGGAACCTGGGACATGGAAGGAGCATGGTGAACCACAACCCTGGTGTTCCCTGGGAGTGAACAGAGGACGAGAGCAGCAGCCAATCTCAGCTCACTCGGGGGTGGGCTTTGAAAGCTAGGCTTGCACACGCGGTTCACACTTGCCTTTTGATGTATAGGGACAGGCACAGGGTCCTAGTGACTAGCACCACCCCCCATCCCCCAAATAGATCCCTCTGTGTTCCTGCAACACCTTGAGGGCAGGGCCGTGGGCGGGTACTCACCATGATGCCAGTGAGAAGGCAGACACCCTTCCCGCAGTATGTGTGGGGCACCATGTCTCCATAGCCAATGGACAGGAAGGTGATGGAGATGAGCCACATGGCACCCAGAAAGTTACTGGTCACATCCTGCTGGTCGTGGTACCTGCCAGGGAAGACAGGTGTTAGTCCGTGAAGTGACTGCTGGGAGCAGAGACTGGGGGAGGACACGGGGACATGCTGAGGAAGGGGCAGCGGTGATGGCGACAGCTTGACATCCCTCTCTAGGCTCCTGAGGGTCCTGCAGCCCACCCAGGTGGCCCCTGCAGTGGCTGAGTCCTCACAAGGGGCAGAGCTTTGTCCGGGTTTGCCGTGCACCGTAGACTCCTTTCACTGCTGGTAGACTCTTTTCACTTTGGATGAAACCATGCAGGAATAAAATTTAAATTTTCCTTTTAAATACATAGCTCAGGCCAGCCTTGAACTCCTGATCTTTGTCCCCCATCTTCCAAGTGACAGGACTTCAGGCCTGTGACACTTCACCTGGCTTGAGAGGTTTACACATCAGTGCGCTTGCGAGGACACAGCCTGCCTTCCCTCTGGGGGATGTAGCAACATCCTCAGACACTAAACTTGCCATCACCTTGACAGAGGACTCTCTGGCCTCCCAAAGCGACGGAACTAGGCAGTCTGTGGTGCTCTGTGACAGTGACACTGAGACACAGAGGGACAGAGCTGCAGCCCTCCAGGCAGGCCTGGGAAAAGGACCTCAAATTCAGCGTTCTGGGCAGAGGGGGACAGTGAGGATGGAAGAAGAGCCTTCCTCATAGGGCCATCCTACTGGGCCAGTGTGAACAGCGTGCAATGCAGTGGTACTCCTGTACATCTCCCAGTGTGAGCAGCGTGCAATGCAGTGGTGCTCCTGTACATCTCCCAGTGTGAGCAGCGTGCAATGCAGTGGTACTCCTGTACATCTCCCAGTGTGAGCAGCATGCAGTGCAGTGGTGCTCCTGTGCATCTCCCAGCCACTCTGGGGAACAGAGCCTGGGCCGGAGAGGTCTGTCTGAGTAGAGGGAACAGCTGTTTGAGAAGGTTGTAACCACGGAGGCTGACACACGGCATAGAAATGGCTGAGTCATGGCTATGCTCAGCTGGGACCTCCATGCACAACAGAGCTTGGAACTCCATGAGTGAGACATGCAGGGGCATCTGCAGGCGAAGTTGTGTCTAGGGATGCTCCTGAAGAAAGACGAAGAGCTGCTGGCCAGAGGGAAGCAGCTACGCTGAACACCAAAGCAGAGTGCGGAGGATGCCATGCTTTGAGCACCTGCCACATGACTGACACTCTTCATGCAAGGGCTCTATTGTTTACAGGGCCCCTTGAGGTGGCTGAAGGGTAAGCAGCTAAAAGCACAGAGACATTGAGTAACTTGTCCAAATACACACAGGAAATAACTGAAGCAAAGTCTACAGGCTTTTGCTGCTCCTCTGTGCACCAGAGAATGGGAAGTGACTGGCATGTGCCCTAGAGAGTGGCAGAAAGGGTCATGAGAGGAGGGCACCTGGACTTCAGCAGTAAGCGATGAGAGGGCTTGTGAGGCCGGTGCTCAGAAGAGGCTGGGGGGCTTGGAGTTCTACGGGCAGATGCTTGCACCTGGTATTAGAGGGCTTGGAGGCCATTCTGGGTTGCCTGATGGGGGAAATGTGCATGGAAAGGCTCTCTGGGAAGGTCTGTGGTGAGGGACCCTTGAAGAGGCAGTGCAGCAGCGAGGAAGCCATCCGAGGGTAGGTGTGTGCGTAACTGCAGTCACTATGGCTGCAACTGCCTCCTGCCCTCAGGCCCAGTCCCAAATCATCAGCGGGTGGCCATGTCTTTTCACTGCTGCCTGTACAAGGGCATAGGCACCTGTAACTTCTGGGGACAGCTGAACATGGCTTTCATTGTTCTGTCGCCCCTGTTTTAAAGCAGGCTGCCTCCAGTTCCCAGCCGTACTCTGCTCCTCTCCTAGGACCCTGGTGGCTGCTTCTTCCAGGCTCAAATTCGTAGGCTGGCCTGGTCTGCCTCCTTGGCCACCCTGGAGAGGCATGCCTTGGACACGTACCCATCCACTGTTCTGCTTGCCTGTCCTACCAGGCCTTTGGCCTGCAGTCCCTTCCTGCATGTTGGGAGATGATAGGTCCTGACTCCAGGCTGTAGCCTACAAAACTAGGCCCTGGGATTGGGGACGTAGCAAGACACGGTGGTTGAAGAAGACTAATGAACCCACACAATGAGACAGAGCGCAGATGCAAACACTGCAGGGGCGCAGTCAGTGCCACTAATTAGGCAGGGTATTTTCTGGAACGCCATCTCAGATCAGGTCTGAGGACACTGACGTTCAGTCGGGAGGGGTAAGTGTGTCAGGGAATGGGCCAGTGCCAGCTTCACTGGATGGAGCTCCATGGCTGTAGACAAGTGACTTAAATCCCTCTGTGACTCAGTTTCTTTTCTGCTAATGGGAAGATTTAAATAGCCCACAGGCAACAGTAATGCAGTAGCCCAGAGTAGGAGCTCCCACCTATCAGCAGTATCTGCTTGTACGGGGACGGTCAGAGACAGGCAGGAGTTATGACGTCAGAGCAAAGTCCCAACAGGGGTGTACCAAGGCATTGCAGGACCGTCCTCAAGTTTACGTGGACACACTTGACACTGAACAGAAGAATCAGAAGCACAAGCCCCTTGTGGCCATCTGAGCATGATGTGGCTGCCCACAAACCTAGGAGGTCAGTCCCTGGGCAGGGAAGTGTGTTTGCAGGGGTACCTGGAGAAGCAATGGGGAGCCTTGAATGCCAACCAGGTGACCAAAAATAGTGTGTGTGGCACATGCAATAATGTGTACAGGATTGCTTTGCTGCACCTGTGGGCCCCTTGGTCCTTTTTCTGGCAAATTCTGCAGCTTACACTGGTGTCCTTGGGCTGCTGGCTGCCCTCAGCACCACACTGCACATCTGTGAATTCTGGGTACAGAGATTAGAGATCAAAGAGGAATTCCATACAAGGCAAAGCCAGCTGTGGCTGCACATGGCTTTAATCTCAGCACTTGGAATACAGAGACAGGCAGATCTCTGTGAGATGGAGGCCAGCCTGGTCTACAGAGTGACTTGCAGGATAGCCAGGGCTAGATACAGTGACTTTGTCTCAAAAACAAAACATTTAAAAGATGATATGTAACTGCTTTTTTGTGATTTTCAAAATTATTCTTGTTTCTTTTTCATTCAGTGTGTGTGTGCGCACACACACCTTTGCTGTGTGCTGAGGAGAAGAGACACTCACTTACTAATTGCCCGATGGCTGCCCCTCCTCTTGCGGGCTACAGGAGGGGCCACAATTGACCTGGCCCTGCTGCTGGAGCTGCTGCTGCTCTGCTGTGGCTAAGCAAGCCTTGTGATGCAGACAGACCCACGTGCAGCTCGCCAAGCAGGAAGTGACGAGCGAGCAATCAGCTGGTGATTCAGGGCTGTGGGAGGGAGAGAGCGGCTCCAAGCCTATTCACAGTTCTAAGTGGTTTACACATGTCACACAGCCACGTACTAACCTCACGCTATTTTTTGCAATAGAGAAATTTGGGGAGGAAGTAGCTTCATGTTTTTCTCTAAGGGCTGAGGATGAAGTTTTTCTCTGAACTCAAGAATATTTATTATAATTGCTAATTTTTCCATCAGGGTGAACGACGGTTTTCTTTCTTTTTTCTATGTAATATTACAAAATAAATAAGAGTTAGGAAAAAATACAGCTTGAGAGATTCTCATTAAACACACATACCTACCCTTGTTCTGCAAATCTCTTACAACTAAGTTCGTAATTCCTTACTTTTAAAAATAAGCAAGCAAGCAGTAACCTCCAGACACCTGAAGAAGGAGGGCCTCTAACACATGAAGACAGACCAAATTAGTCCCTTAAATCAAAGAAAAGGAGTCGGGGTCAACAGATCATTCACAGAGAAGAACCCTTGGGCAGGGCTGGTGACAGGTGGGAGGGCGGGGAGGAAGCCTGTAGTTAACACTAAAGGGAGATAAATAAGACATTGCACCTGTGAGGGAGAATCGCGGTGGGAAACTGTGGTCAAGATTTATTATATGAGGGAAGATTCTATTTTCAATTAAAGATAAATGGGTGCTCTACTAGGAAAAGTCAACTGAGCAGAACCAGAAGAGAAATTGAGCAGGTCTCCCAAACAGCAGAAGACCGGAGAGTGAAAATGAGCAGAATAGTTTCAGAAAGAAAGAACTGGTGGGGGAGGGGGACATCACTGAAGAAATCCAAATATTCCCCAGAACGGAAGAGCAACCAAAGCCCCCAGCACAATGGACAGCGATCGGCCCCAGACAGGCACATTGCTGTGAAAGTTCCCACTGTCAGAAGGAAGGGGATCCTGCAGGGTTTTGTGGCCGGGATGCAGCAGGAGAGAAGAAGGTGGAAGACAAAGAAATCACAATTTATAATGACTTCTGACTTTCCCCAGAACACTGGAAGTTAGAAAGCTAGAGACATCTGTCAAGATTCTAAAAGAAAATGAGGCTGGAGAAGGGCTCAGTGGTTAGGAGTACTTGTTGCTCTTGCAGAGAACCCAGGCTCAGTTCCCAGTTCCCACAAGGTGGTTCACAGCCATCTGTAACTCCAGGTCCAGGGGATCCAGTGCTCTCTTCTGGCCTCCACAGGCACCACATGGTGCATAGACAGGCATGCAGACAAAATATTCGTACACTTTAAAAAAATCTAAAAGCAAATTGAAAGGAAATGAATTTCTAAGAGATACCAGAATTCCAAACCCATTTATGATGGTCAGAATGAGAATGGCCCCATTTGAATACTTGTTCCCCAGTTGGTGGGAAAGATCAGAGGGTGTCCTGGTTGGTTTTTATGTCAATTTGACATTGTAGCACCCAGCCGTGACAAGCTCAATAGAGGCCTGGGTCTCAGTAGTTTTCTCTAAGGCAATACCTGGTTCCGAGAAACACCACAAACTTAGACTACCCAGACACCACCCAGGAGCACACCCAAAGGAAATCCCTAACGTTCCAACCATTGTAGATAGGATCACCTGCCAGCACACACCCATAGCTTTTCACCAGGACACCCCTAGACAAATGTCAGTCAATCAGGGGTCCTGAACCTTAGAAATCCCT